GAACGTCGCCAGGACCTCGGAAACTCTCGCAGAACAGCAGGTGGCGCCCGGTGTTGAGGTTTGGGTGTAACCGCTACTTTTTCTCTTACAATCACTATTGCTGTCTACTACTACGAATTACAAAGCCCGATTTCTATTGCTGAGGAATAATGTTCAGAACAGCTCCATCTTCAGAATCTGCAAGCAGAAGCCCAAGAATGCTCGCCCCAAGCCTCACCCCAAAGCCACTTGTGGGTCCTTTTCCTCGAGGCCTTCATGCAGGGGTTGAGGCTTCCGGCCATCGTTTACTTGGAGGTTCCTTAAATAAGACGATAACAGTTCTTACCCTACTTCTAGCACTACTTACAAGCACCCATAGGGGGTTTAAGGGCTTTGGCCTGAGGATCCAGCAGCCGAAGCCCCAAGTTGGCCTGGAAACTTACAACTTTAGGGTTTAGGGTTTAGGGTTTAGGGTTTAGGGTTTAGGGTTTCAGATGCCTGAGCTCCATTCGGCCTCCCGTTGAAGCCTTTTGGGGGGGACTTTTGGGTGCCTTCCTTTTTTTACGAGCATTTTCGGTGCACTGTGCATTTTGCGTTGCTTTTGCGCACCTTTGGGGGCGTTTGTTTGGGTTATGTTGCTGTGGCAGGTTGCGGCGGTTTGGGTTTGGGGCTTGTTCGTTGCGCTGGTGCAAGGGAACGTCAAGTGTATCCCATAGCTCAGGGTTTCGGAGTACACGGGGGTTGACGACATTCGGGGTGCCTTGTTGGGGTCCTGATAAACAAGGGGATCTTACTATTTGGGGGTGTACATTAGGGGCCCCTTTATTCTCGTAAACCCCCCATATATGTAAGTGGAGTTTGGGGCACGGGCCGCTACGATGATACCGACTCTTCAAAACGGTGATACAGTCTCTTCAAATGACGGCAAAATGCCTTCCGATGCAGTCTACTTCGCCAAGGGTTGGACTAAAACTTTTCGGGGTCTGCGTCCCTAAACCCTAAACACTATAAGTCCTGTATTTTGCACGAACAGTCATGTTTCACCCTTTCGTTGTTGGTCTTGGAGACGATGGGAGAAGTAAGCCGGGACGCGGCCAACATCACTCCTGCTGTTAGTGTTTAGGCTTTACGGCTTCGGGTTGAGGGTGATGATAAAGCCGCACAGCAACGAACAAAGCCCTACCACGTACACCCCAAAGCTATCTCCACCTTAAGCCTAGCCAATCAGGGCCCAGTGACTCCAGCGCGGGTAAGTCCTGGGCGGATATCGCTGCTGGCAAGGCGCAGGCCGCCAAAACCCTAAAGCCCCTAAACCACAAACCCCCTAAACTCCCCTAAACCCCCTAATCCCTACACTCTAATCCCCCCCAAATTGTATGGGGTTTTGGTCCCAATAACGTTTCGACCGAAAGTGTTGACCGAAAGTCTGCTTTTGGAACTTAGCTTCGCATTCAACTTTGTTGGAGCGGGCGAGGGGGGTGGGTGGCGACGTCCATGTAGTCCTGAGGCCCTAAACCCTAAACCCTAAACCCTAAACCCTAAACCCTAAACCCTAAACCCTGAGACCTCTGGTCAAGTTCTAGATGGGGTGGTCCTGGATGTCACCGGCCTTACAGGCTTCTCATCTAAAAGCTTTCTTCTTTTTGTAGATGGGATGGTCGCCATTCACCCTTGCAAAAATGCAACAGCTTGCTTTCTCTTTTTTTGCTGGGGTCACCCGTCCCGATTCGTCTTTCAACAGATCCAGCAGCTTATTCTCTTTCTAAATGGGGTGGTGACTCCGCCGTACGGCGTCTGCTCCAACCCACTGAAGTGATTGCAATGGAGACTGGCTTGATAAGAAGCTGCAAGTGAGGTTGGTGAGCTTAGAAGCATTCGCCTTGTCGTAAGACGACCTTGTGTCCTTGGCAGAACGGCTTGTAGGAACCCCGAACTGCCAAGCAAGTTCGTTTTTGGGCTGGCTGGAGGTGGGTCTGGGAATGTGCATGTCTACATTGGGGAGGATCCTTCATCAGATATCCCTAAACCCTAAACTCTAAGCCCCATATCCTAGACTGAGAAGTGAATGACTTCAGCTCCAGAGTTGATGGCAGTGAAGACGAAATTAGAATCCAGGCTTCCAATTGTAAATCTAAGTCTTTTTCAAAAAGTGGGGCAAGGCGTGAAGGAAAGGGAGCGATGCCTGTCACACCTTGCAAGTCAGTTGGTTCATGCTCAGTCTTCCTCCTCGTTGTGTCTGAAACCAAAGTCTGCATTCATTAAGCCACGACAAAGTTTGTTGACCTTGACCTCCCCCGCGCTATCCGCCACCAGGGCTTCTTTTGTTGTGTTGAGTGTGTGCGAGTGGTCAACACATCCAAGCCCGCACATGCTACCACATGAAGGCATGAACCTTGGCTGCCTAAATCCACTGCGGAAAGTAAGGGAAAGGGGTGGGAGGGGGGGACTCAGAAAGCATCTGAAAAAAGGCAGCTCCTAAATTCGGATCCCCCTGTAGGCTTAGGGTCGAGACTTGGTACACCAAGTTAAAGCAGCCATGTATTGCGTGCAGGCGAAGAGCTAGACCAAGGCGCTGGCTCTGCTGCCCTTGTGGAATCTGAAAAGCCGAAGGGAAGGGTTTAGGGTTTAGGGTCGAAAGAAATTGTATAGGGTTTGGGTCCCAAGTTTATTGGTGTTTATCATTAGAAACCCTAAACCCTAAACCCTCAAGACAAAAATAGATAGAACTTGTACGTGGTATCACTTGAACTTCCCATCGTTTTGTCTAAACAGCTGACAAGCCGAGTTTAAGTAAATCCGCCGAGGCCTTGGGCCGTAGGTGTCTGGGTAGCACGAAGCTTGCGGGTTCCAGAGCTTTGGGGTGAGTGATGGAGGCCCGTGGGCAGTGTTGAAGATTTGGTTTGACTTTGAGCTTTTCGAGCTCGGGACATGTGTTAACGGTGCACAATGCATCCGGATCTGCATCGATCTCCTACACCCCAAGCCTTAAACCCCAAACCCCAAAAACTAAACATATAGTTCCACTGAATTGCATTCAAGGGTGGCCTGCAGTGAGCTACAGTTCTGACATCGACTAGCGGTCTTTGATGTGAGGCTGTGCTCGACCTGATTGCACTTGCAAAGTCAAAGCGTGGTAGGTACTAGTCAAAACTCCTACCCGCAATGAGCCTCAATGTGGCAGTAGTTGCCCTGTAGAACCCAAACCTTAAACCCTCAACCCTAAACCTTAAACCCTAAACTCTAAACCCTAAACCCTAGACCTTACATCAGGAGTTTTGGCTATTGCTTTGCCCGGGCCAACGGGCCGGCAACGTTTCAATCGGCCGACTGGACTGCGATTGAAGCCGAAATGCGAGCGAAACCCGCCACATGCAGTTTCTGGTTGGTTCTTGGTAGGGAATGAGGGAATGAGGTACCCCATATAATCCTTAAATGGTCTATACATAAATACATCTATACATATATACATATATGCATATATGCATATGCATATATATATATATAGGGCCAAATTGTTTTCATTCCCTACTAAGCACCAGGGGGGGGGGTACAAGCTGAACTTTAAGGACGTAATTTGTCACTTGGGTGCACAGCATGCTCTACAGTTGCATGTGTGTCGTTGATGGTATTACTGCTCCAGGCCTCTTCAGTTACCCTTGACCGTCTTGAGCCTTTACTGAGGTTTCATGCAGAACTCCTGGAATTTCATTCTAGGCAGAATGTGGATTCTGGATTATTGGGTGTTCGGTTCTCATTCTTGCTCACTTGTGTCGGCGCCGGGAGTTGCATCAGATCACTTGATGATTGGCCGTTCTGTTAAATCAAGCCCTAAACTTTAAACCACCTGACAAGGGGATCGATGGGTTGATGAGCTGTGTTTTGCTGACGCATTTACAGTACCAAGATTTCGCACACAAGACGGCGGCAAAGCAATAAATCAGGTACTGCACTGGTTCTTGCTGGAAACACATAGAGTTTGGAGCCAGGCGTGTCGCTGTTTCTCGTTGCATGGCCACCGTTTTGGAAAGCAATGCCCATTTGCAGGCGATTCTGCTCAAGCTTCGTCGTCTGTTCATAAACCCAGCTCAAGCCCTTGAAGCCTTCCCTAAACCCTAAACCCTAAACCCTAAACCTTGAACCATGAATTGCTTGAGCCCTTCAGGATCCTAAAGCCTTGAACGTTGTCCTCGGCATGCCTTGGGGGAACGTTGTTGTGGCCGGCCTCTCCAGGCTGATGCAGCTTTGAGGCTTAGGGTTTAGGGTTTAGGGCTAGGGTTTAGGGTCTAGGGTTTAGGGTTTGGGGTTTAGGGTTTAAGGTTGAAGGGTTGAGGGCTCAGGGACAAAGGTTTGGGGTCCAGGGATCGGCTTTGAGGAGCAGGTTGCTTTGCTCTTGCCCTAGTCCAGCGATTAGTGTGCGGACACAAGAGCAAGTAAGAGGGCTCAAGTTCTGCAGGGGTGCGGTTTGCCTGAGTCGCGTATGTTTGCATCTGCTATGGACTTTGTAATTGTTCCTTTCAGGATACTTTATATTGAACATGCATCCCTGAACCAAAACCCCAAACCCGAAACCCTAAACCCTAAACCCAAAATCTAATGGTAGCCTTCCCCAAGCACTGAAGCATGAGCCTGGCCGCGGACCACGAGGTGGGGCCTCAAAGTCGCTCCAGAACCTTGGGTTTAGGGTTTAGGGTTTAGGGTTTAGGGTTTAGGGTTTAGGGTTTAGGGTTTAGGGTTTAGGGTTTAGGGTTTTGGGTCTAGTTTTTACGTGATTTATGGCCTTAGGGTTTAGGAAGAAAGCAAGACTCCCCATTCGGTACTTTATACTGTGGTGGGTAGTAGTTTGTCAGAACCCAAGCCTTGAACTTAAACTGTAGACTTGCAGCATCCTGTACAAAAGGCCTCCAAGCGACTCTCAGCCCTAAACACCTCAACTCAGCACTTGCGCCACGCTTGTGCATCATCCGCAGCTTTGAGAGCTCCCCTGTTTTCATGACGTTCAATTTTCAGCGGCTCGCTTCCTGATGGAGAAGAGCGGACCGGCGAAGGATCCGAATAAGGATCCGAAGGCGCCGAAGGCAAAAGCAGCCGGCAAAAAAAACAAGCAATCGGTGAAGAAGGAGAATCGCAACAACGAGGAGAATCATATTCGATCGAAGAAGACGAGCAGAGTAGTGCCAAAAATCAGGGATGTTGAGTGCAATGATGGACGTTTGGTGTTTTGTGTGTCCCTGAGAGGACCCTGCGCTGACCTCAGTCATTGGGAAGGGCGAAACGCCTGACCTCGATGGCGAAGAGCCTGACACCTGAGCTTGACGAGTATTGAAAGGTCATGCCTTTGTTCCTATATTTGCATGGGCAGAGGACGTAAGAGAATATGGAATTGCGGATCAGCGTTCCTACTGTTCACAGCCCCTGAATGGTTCCAACATCTGCCCGTTTCAGCCCAAGTTTCGCATTACGGGACCGATGAACCGAGCGGTAGATTGAGCCGGTTTCGCGTTCTGCTCTGCACTGTCCGCCATCGTCAATCTTCAATCACTACGGTCACTACTGATACTGCTACAGCCTTAAATGTTGCCGCATTGTGTAAGATTTCTGGCAAGCCCACACCCCGGCGCACTTCCAAATGTGGCGCTAAAGCACAAATTGTGGATCCGTCGAGTTGGCCCTCAATTCACAGAAGCGTCGCAGCCGCAAAACACGGCTTGAGCTTTGCGGAAACAACGGAAGCACCCAATTCTGACGCCACTAAAAACATGTAGCTACCTTCAGAAGCTTGTCGAGTGACCAAACGGGGGTTACGAACATAGGGGACCCTAATATAGATCCCCAAAGAATAGCTTCCCCTTACAATAAGGACCCCCAGAAGGTGCCCCTAATTTCGACAACGCCCTTATACTAACAGTTACTACAGTAACAGTCTTTAAGACGGATCTTAGTACCCTGATTATAATCCCTAGAAGGACTGACCCTAAACCCTAAACCCTAAACCCTAAACCCTAAACCCTAAACCCTCAACATCCCAAGTTGTATGGGAATGCAAGGAAAAGCCGCTTCTCGCGAGCGCTGCAAGCACCTGCTCCCAGGGCTCCGAGTCCGAAAGAAAGGCCACGACCGAAGTTGATCCGCAGGCCAGGCTTTTGTTTCCCAAAACAAGGGTTTAGGGTTCAGGGTTTAGGGTTTAGGGTTTAGGGTCCAAATTTGCAGTGGATTCCAAGTTGACATGGTTGTAGCATGTTGCCATCGGTTGAAGGCATGTTCGACCCTGGAAATTAGGGGGTTCTTTTTGCGGAGCGGGCTTTTTCCACGATCTGCAATCCTTCGGCCACGTTTGATAAAGACCCATCTTCAGACTTCCCCAAAGAGTCAGACAAGCCGAAAAAGAGGACTCCAACCAAAGCAATTGCAGTGTCAGGATGTGACGAGGCTAAGCGGGAGGGCGACAAGACGAGAAGGAAGACAACACGGCCCGACCATCTCTGGTGACGAATATCGTAACGAGACTTGACCACGACTAGTGCTTGCCGTTTCCAGCTTTATATCAACCTTTGTATACTTGACCGAGTGCTGTGTGGACTTGTGATGTTCGGGGCGGATGCGAGCAGATGCTGCAGGTCTACCAGATGAAAACAACTAGGTTAGACTCTCAGCGTGCGGCACCTCACTGCGCATTTTTCTTTGTGGTTTGTTTGCTTGCTGTCTCTCCGGCGCTTCTTTGTGCCGGGTGTTTGTGCCAGAGCTTTTGCCTGCGATGTGGGTCTGGGTTTCTTGGAGTGTGTCCCGTCTTGTTTTGACAGTGCAGGGTGTTGTGGAGACGAAGACCGTGAGGGTAGCGCCGTGCCGCCTATATGAAGCAGCAAGGTAGGGCATTGGACCTGCGCCCACTTGATGACCCTTTACCACTTGAGAAAACTCTGCAAGAAACATAATATATCCCGTCACAGGCGCTTGTAACAGGAAAACAGCCCCAGACTGTAACAGAAGATAGGGCCAGCCGTAGCATGAAAATCCGGGGACCCGTAATTGCAGCCATTTCCCAAACCCCTAAAACGCCTACACAACGACAGGGTTCGGTGTTTAGTGTTGGCCTGGTTTACGTACATGCCTGCACTGTTGTATTTATACAATGCTTTGTTTGCTGGTTACTTGTTTTCTGTTACGACCCCCCCATGTTTCTGTTACATTCTGCCGTGGAGCTTTTAAAGCGGGGTCCTTCCCTGTATCAAACCGACCCAGACCGGCCAAACCAGCAGACTCTGGTTTCCAGCTCTGGTGTTTGGAGCTCAATTTGCAGCATGTGCGTAATGTACGTGCACACGCGCGCGTGCGTGCGTGTTTGTGTCGCCCTTCTGGTTGGCTCATTGGGCCAGTGGGTGCAGCCGCGAGTGAGACGCCCTCAGACGCTGCTTGTGAAGTGATCAGCAGTCTTCACCCAGGAAGTTGAGTTGGACATCTTGCTGACCCATCCTACTGTTTTAACGTCTAATGCTTCACAAGCATGCCCCAAGACCATTTCCTCTCTTTTTGTTCTCGTACGCTTTGCGGGGGTGGGATGTTTGGATACCTGCGAACAAGCCCTGCAGCCAAGGACAATTTTCAGGTGAACCTTAAAAAGCTACTCCTCATCTTCGGAGTCAACCTGTGCAGTCCTTTCGGTTTTCTTGTGGTGTGCCTGATCGTGACCATTGACGCGTGCAACATTTGGCGCCGCCTCAGCGTGATGAAAGTGTCGAGGAGCACTCAGAGAGGTGATTGGGACCAGAACGAAGTCCCGAAGTGTGAATGTTGGGGTCGTGACTTGTTGGGGCTCGAAACGATCGGAAGACATCTGCTGGCTCGGTTTGCAAGCTTATGTGCGTGTTTTGCCAGACCCTCACCCCAATACTGGCCCAGGGTGCTAGGTTCGGGCAGCTTGGTGCCAGCCCATCCTTGCCTACCTGGCAGAGCATTGTTAACTGTTAGCTGTGGTGCGACCATAGAGAGACAAATCCAAAACTCGAGGCTCAAATATTGATCGGTGGGACGTGAACACCATGGCAGGCAAACATCGTTGAACTGTTTAATTACTTGCCTTGTGACCAAAAAAATACCAACAGCTGAGGTCATGATGATGGACGAGTTCATCACATCAGAGCGGAATTGACAAGGGCACACGGTTACCGAAAGGTATGGTGGGGAGTCTTGAAGAGAAATTACTATTACCTCGTGCACCAAGCTGCAGAGCACTCCTCCTCGACGATCGTTTCATCTATGTTGAACGTTTCATTGCTGATTTCATACGTGTCCGGGCATTTCAACAACATGTCCCCTGAGTACCTCATGGAAGCCCTTTTGCCGCGATGGCTGATGATCGGAGTGTTGCTTTCAGAGGCCACCCAATATGTCATGAAGTCGCCAGACGACCTTGACAACTTTGACAGCGCTGCAGAAATTCGTGACGCAGTTGCAAAGCTCCTGAAAATCCACCGCCCCAAACTGCCATTGCCCAGTGAAGAGACAGGAGATCCCCATGTTTGCTTCGCGATCAAATCCCCGACTTGTTTCAGCTACACATTTATCCAGGATGAGCCGAAAGGTGATGGCTTTGCACTATATGATGATGCCATACCGGAAATCGTAGAGGTGATTTGTCCAAAGTGGGCGAGATCCACCCCTCTCAGGGTGCCAGTTCGAATGTGGCAAGAGTGGAAGGTTTTGAATGGTGTGAACCATTTGTCTAAGATGGCGAAAGATGCGAGGAGATCTACCAAAGGAGGGGTCAACGCCAGTAGCATAAGTCAATCAAAGCCGGAGGATGAGCGATCGGTCTCCGACACTGCAAACGCACCGCAGAAGCTCTCGGAACAGAAGGCAAACCAGATGTTGTTCATCCATCACCTGAATGAAGTGGCCGAAGTTTTGTTTTTGGACGCGCTTTTGGCTCAGTGTTTGTTCATTGTCGTAGGGGTTTGCTCTTGTTGGGGACGGAAACACAAAAAGTACATCCAAGGCCGTTGTTGATATGGCTCGGCTGCAACTGGCCCTTGGGGACATTGCGCATGAGACCTTATTGCGGCACATCGTCCGCATCTTCGACTCCACAATTAAGTTGCCTTTTCAGAAACCTAGTTTTCAACTGAAGTCTGGCTCGGAGTCTGACAAGACTGAACAAGAAGAGTCCGAACAAGAGGCATCTGGAGAACTGAAGTTTGACAAGCATTCTGGAACCATCTACCCCACAGACACTGAAGAGGCGGACCGCGACTCTTTCTCTGACCAACTTACCACTACAGAACATAAAATGTCCTTCGCGTACAAGCAAGCTTTGGAGGAGGGATGGATGCCAGTTCATGTTCTGGCAGATCAGCTCCTTTTAGGTGGGGTGGTTCCGGCCAATTCATTTTACTATGTGAAGGCTACGTGCAAGTGCATTGCGAATGCCTTTGGGGTCGCTTTGATAGCTTATGCAGCGATCCTTCCTGCTGTGGCGGGCACGACCTTTGGTGGTATTGTTCGTACTTCATTCATCCTGTTTGTCTTCACGAACGGTTCTATGATGTCTTTGTGGTACCCCACTCAATTGCGCAAACTCTTCTCGCAGATGTCGGAGTCCGTCAGGATGTTCAACGTAATGCTGATGGGCCGGAAAGCTGCTGGGGCAGATTTTCTTCCACATATCCGAGTCGGCAACATTGATGACATTGCTGGTGGTTTGTTGGCACTCGCTATAGTTTTGTTCTACTTATTTTGCGCGAGCTTTCTGTGCAACAAGTTGCTAGTCCAAGGTCCCAGACTTGCAAATGTCCATAAATCCCATTATGCGTACGATAGGGACGCTTGCACGGCCGAGGTTGGTATTTGCTTTACTCGTTTTTCATCGCTAGCTTTCAGCGTCGGAAGCTCGCTTTGGAACTCGGCTTCGGCCATGGAGTTTCTGACCTGGCTTGATGAACAAGTGTTCTTGGTCTTGGGGGAGTGCTACTGTTCATTTTTCTGCACGGTTGTTCAAGCCTCTGTTCCAACTCGACTCAGGTTCTTACAGTGGTGGTCATGTCGGTGTTGGTTCTTGTTCTATTGTACACGGGAGATACTATCGAGAAGCCTCGGACAGCATCATGGCTGCATATCCGGGGCACAGTCACGGAGACGCACTCGATAGTAAAATTCTAAAGGAATCCGAGAGAGGTCCTTTTTTGGGTCCAAGAGCAAACAGGGTAAGAGGCATCACATTTTTTTCAGGTGGTGTTCCTCTGCGAGACATTTACTTTCCTGCTTGCCTTTGCCATGTTCTCTGTTCAGCCGTTGCTCGTGGGCCTCCGAGCAAACCTCTTGAACCGGAGAACCGTCGACCTCCTTTGGGGGCATGCAACGGAGTCGCGGGCATATCTTTGCAAGTTGGAAAAGGTCCTTGCCAACCTGGCAGAAGAACAGAAGGTTGAATCTGAGCAGGACAGGAGCTGGCTATCTCGTTTTTGTTGGGAAGGCTTACGTTCCCATAGCTTTGTTGCACCAATTAGACAATCCTAGTTCAGCAGGTCTCCGTTGGTGATTTGGTTTCGTTCATACTACTTCTACATCTATATGATATACTGTATCCAACAAGAGAAGTGGAAGATCGAGGAGAAAGTGGCCGCGGATCGAGATCTGGAACCAGCGTTGTTGCCACCAGCAGTAGATGGCCAGTGAAGATCTCCTTTTAGATTTAACTTTGTTTGAGAGTGGCCCACACAGGACACACAGGAGGAGCTCAAACGCAAGATAAAGGATGCCGCGGCTGCCGCCGAGTTGACTGAGTCAATCGCTCAGAGAGGCTCAGGCTGCGATTGCGATTGTTCGGGCAACATCCACAAGATGAATTGAGGAGTCACCCCAGTTCCCTTCACCCACAACTAAAGCAGATTCAGATCTTGTCCTCTGTACGGTTCAACAAGCACGAAACGTTGTGTACTTAAATTTTGTGTCCGAGGAACAAGATTGGACACGACACTTGTGGTGCGGACCTTGGGCATGGAGTTGACCTTGGCCCAATTCACAGCTATCGCGTCGATCTGTTCTACAGCCGCGATCTATGCCTACAACAAGCTAAAAGAAAAAGAGGACCAGGTGAACAGTGTTTTTGTTACTGCTGTCTGGCTCATGCAGGCAATGTGGAGTACGCTTTTTGGCTTCACAAAGCAGTGAACAAAGGCTGCTGTGGCCTCTATGCGCCGACGAAATCGTGCAGATTCCTGGAGGGTGTTAAACTCTCAGTGCCAGGCAGTCTCATGTTCTTATTCTTCTTCTTTGCAAGTGCTCTTGATACAGAACTATGTTTCTTGCTTTCAGATGGAAAGAATGATGGTTGTTTCCACACGTTTATCCCCAGTGGCCCACCTTACCCTAACCCTAAACCCTAAATCCTTGAAGATGTTAGTTCTTTGCCGTGAACTGCGGATGGTAGCTTCAGCGGGCATTGAAACTAGCTGCGCACCCTTGACCTGAACCACCACTTTCGTGACATCTATCTACGGGGGTTTCCGAAAATAGGGGTACCCAGTTTGGGGTTCCCATAATAAGGATTATACTATTTGGGGGTATATTAAGGGTACCACCTTTTTGAAAATACCCATACTGAAACATCCATACTGAAACATGGCTTATTGTTGCAGTCCACGCAGAGCATTTGCGGTCATGCTTCGGCTGTCAAAGACACACTGAAGCACGCTTTGAGCATGAGCACAACTGTCTACGTGGAATGCTTAGCTACATAGCGACAGCTGTTTGTTCATTCTCACAGACGTCCGCTGCCAAACCAGCGTGGGGACACGACGTGGTACGATGCATCCGGAAGAATCAAAGTATTCTTTGGTACGATGCATCCGGAAAATCAGAGAATGTTTTGGTACAAAAGCGGGCGTGGCTGTCTCCAGGGGTTACCCTGCTACTCAGAGTGCGACATAATAGAAGAAAAATGCCGGATAGAGAATCTTCCCGGCATTGCGGCTGCCGGTGTGCTCAGTGTCATGCAGTCGAGTTCAGCACGGGGGGCAAGGTTTAGTCGAGTGATTAGAGTCCCTCTGTCTGCAGGCCAACTGCGTAGCAGCATGCGCAGTAACAACGCAAATCATTTCGTAGCAGCCTCAAATTGCTGGTAACCACGCAAAACTGTGCACTATTTTTGGCGCAAAATAGGTGTAGGTTTAGGGAGGGGGTAGGTTTCGCCAAGATGTCGGTTTCTAAAAAGAGTGCTGCTGACACAGCCTCTGACATAGCCTAAACCCTGCACGCCAAACCCGAACCCCAAAGACTTCAGTGTTTAGGGCTTAGGCTGATTGGGGGGGGGGGGGGGTGAGTGCTCCCAAAAGATTGTTTGATCAAAGGAGTTGTGTGCCGAATCTGGGTTTTGCTTATCGGGGGCTGAGTCCTTTCACGAGCTCGCCAGCGCAGCCTTGGCGCTGCGTGGCCTTGGGTGCAGGCTTTATAGGGTTTCTATATCCCCCTTGGCAACTATTTTTTGGTTTAGTTTGTTTCAAACCCAAGAGGATATTAAAATAGTATTTTTATAAAGGTTCTAAGAGGAGTATAGGTTTAGGGTTCAGGGATCTTGGGTCTCGGGTTCAGGGATCGGCCGGAGAGGGGGTGAGACTTTTGGGGTTATAGGGTTTAGGGTTTAGGGTTTAGGGTTGAGGGTTTAGGGGTTTAGGGGTTTAGGGGTTTATCGATTCTTTTCTCGACACATGTCGGGCATGAGTCCTTCATCCTCTCGACTCCTAGATCCT